AGGGAACATGTAATGCATAGGATTTGAGGACGGGAGGTGTGGAAGACACCTTAAGAAGCTGTATAAAACCACTTAACAGAGATACCAAACAAATTAGTCACATACTGAATGGCGTGCTTTTATGCACAGCTCCACCGCATGACTCATTCAAAAAAGGAACGCTGGCAATTTTAATGACAGGTAATTGAATTTGATGAAAAACATGAAATAAACATAATTCTATTCTTTCAATTGTGTGGTCCTCTGTTTCCACCTGACTTGCTTTTTCTTTCCTCTAATATTTAGATATCCATTTTGGTTCACGTGCCATTAAAAATAAGCACGAGAAGCTAACCTCATTCTGCCAGTTCAGCATTATGAAGTGCCTGGGGCTTTGGAGTACCACTTGTAAACAGTGACAGAAGAAAATGTACAAAGTGCAATATAAAAAAACAGGATTTATTTTCTAGGAGTATCTCATTTCAAATTACACCAAAATCTGTTCAAAAGTCTGAGAAAATAGGAAACTTGTTCCCCCTTCCCAAGGAATAAACCATTTTGACGCAGAAAAAAGTCCAGTAAATAACAAAGGCTTTCTATAGTATTGAATTGCATGATGCATATTAAAATAAAGTTATTTATTTTGATGACATAAATCTCTTTGAATGCTATGAATATGCAAGGATACATGCAAATTTAAATGATTAAGTGGTCTGTATTATTGTAAGCAAACAGTATAAACATTGCCTGCACAAAGCCCACTAGCCCAAGAAACCTAACCACATGGAAAAAGGTTCCACATGAACAAATACAAATGTGAAATAAAATATCTTATCTGCTCTAATTACCAGGAAAATCCTCTGATTACTAGCATAATTTACAGGTGTCCGTAACTGCTCTGAATTAGGGTAAACCCTTATTTCAGCGTAACCTCTATAAATAGACTTCCCTCTAAAATTCAAAGCGTGACAGGGGTATCCATGATTATATTAAATCAAAGGGAAGCATTCTCATCTCCTACACAAGGTATCTTCTAAAAAAAAAAATTTGCTCCAGTGCGACCCTATTAAAGGGCACAATAGGCACTCAGACCACTTCATCTCATTGAAGTGGTCTAGGTGCAGCGCCCCTGTGGTCTGTTTAACCCTGTAATGTAAAAATTCAGGATCCCTTGTGTAGTTTTACTCCGCTATCCAATGTGGTACATTCCCACTCATTGCATGACAACCTCTAACGTTTTCTATGTTCCCCATAAGAAAGCATGGATTCTGTGCCACTGCTTCAATTGGTACACCAATTAAAGGACCAGAATGGGGAACTACTGATTGGCTTAGGACTTCACCTGATCAATCTAGCTTATCAGCAACACTCCTGCCCAGCATCACTTCATGCTTCTTGTAACTAGATTGTAGTCGAATGCTGCTGGGGAAAGGGAGATCTGGTGTTGAAGAGCAGACTTGAGTTGAGTTAGACTGTTTAAGAATGGTTTATTTCAAAGACCAGGTGTAACATCTCACTAAGCTACCATCTTCAGTAAAATTAATCAGTCACACATTTGAAAGTAGTCTGATGAGTAGCTTTTACCTGAGGCACTGAAAAAGTGAAAGGAAATTAGTTCTACACGCTGAGTGTAAAAAGGGAACTGCCCCATAAACTACAGGGTGTAAAGTAATAAATAAAATAGGGACCAATCGCTTAGGCCATGTAGGAATTTAATCCCTATAAAAAAATATCAGAGCTCTACACAGGTTGAGCAGTCGAGGTGGACAATTCCTTTACAAAGATTAAGAAATATAACTCATTAGAAGACACGTCTAGCACTTTATTCATACGATATGGGTACAGTGTATTCTATCTAAGCATCCAATATACTCTCTGTGTCTTAAAATAATTTCTTCTCAGATCCTTATCTTGATTGTATACAGTTGTGCTCAAAGGTTTGCATACCCTTGGAGAATTGGTAATATATATACCATTTTAAACCCCTTAAGGATGGCGGGCGTGCTTAGGGATCCGGCTTTGAACGCCGGGGGGCAGCTTAGCACGTCCCCGCCGTCCTTTCTACTTACCCAGTCACCGGTGATCCCATGCCAGCAATCGCGGTGTGGGAACTCACCTGGCAGTCCAGGGAGTCCCCCTCCATCCTCTGCAGCACCCCTTGCTGCCTGTAAAATTTTTTTTAAAAATAATAGAAAAATAAATAAATAATATATTATTATATAAATATATATATATATATATATATATATATATATGTGTGTGTGTGTGTGTAATTTCGTTCTATCTGTAATTGAAAATTATTATATATACCTTGATATCAAAATACACGTAGAATGAAAATATATATGTATCTATATTCATAAGTATATACTTATATATAACTATATATATATCAATAAATAAATAAAAATAATTTGTGTATATAAATATATGTGTGTATATATATATATATATATATATATGTATATAATTTTTTTAAATTCTACGTGTATTTTGATCTCAATGTATATATAATCATTTTAAATTACAGATAGAACGAAATTAAAGAGTTATCTCACAGTGTCACCCTTTTTTGTTTGTTTGTTTGTTTCTTCGCCTTTTCTATAATTTGCACTTACAATTTTAACTCTTTCATGACAGGTGATAAGGCAAATATTATACTATCATACAATAACAGCCATATGCTAATCATATGCCACTAAGGAATTAAATCAAATGGCCATCAGTGTTCTCCACTGGGAATGCCTAACTTCATTCTATGATTGCAGAGAGCTACAAATGCTGCATTCTAAAGCCCTGGAAAATCAGGTATTTCAAAATTAAATGAACCCTTTTTTCCTGCAAAACTATTTTAATATTATAATATGATATAGTTGAAAAATATCTTTAATTGATTTAAGGAAATTAGTTTGGATGAAGAACTTGAAGAAGAAAGTCTACAGATTTCATGTGAGCAATACAAACACAGTATGAGAAGACAAATGTCTGACACAGTCAGCCCCAGGAGTACAATCAAGCAGAACACACATTAACAATATAAAGGTTGATTTAGGGCAAAGTATTAAGACAATTTTATACAGTTCACTAAATATGTCACAGATCGACTCAAAGTGGCCTTTTTCCACTTTCCTATAGACTTCTAGAGTTATTTCTGTAAGGAGCCTACACAAGTATAATAAGGTCAAATGTAGCCTTTTAAAGTGTGACCCTTGTATTTAAACAGTGTTTGTACTGAGGAGGGGTGGAATTCTTTAACGGATTGTAAATATCAATCACCGCTATTTCTTTAATAATTGGTCCACTGGGAGTTCCCAGAGAATAAGAGTGTATCAGGAGTCACTTTTGTTTCTTGTAGGATTAGTAAAGACACTGTAAATACCACCCACATGCCTCGACCATGCACATTCCAGAGCTAACTTTTATATTCAATATACTCAGTGTTACTCGAAGGTAAATACCATCGGTCTAATAGCTCAATTCTTAGTTTAACAGCTTAATTACTGTATAACGCACATATTTTGAGCATATGGTGAGCTCAACCTCACTCCCATGCAATGTAGTAGAAAATGAAGTTGATGAGAACACTAGAATAACAAGCTGGTTTGAAAGATGTAGTACAAGTTGTAAAATGTGGAGACTTTCTTCAGAAATATCATTCAAAGATGTGATTTTGTTCATTAATACTACCACCGGGTAAATCATTAATGTGGAGATCTCACTACTGTACAGCATAACACTATTCACTTTTTACATAGATGTTGAATTATGGATCGAAACATGAGTTTCCATTTATCCGAGGTGATGTTGGGAATTGATTTGGGGCAGTTTGACCTGCAGATGTTGGAGATGACTTCCCCCTTCTTACAAGATAGGTAGATACATTTTAATTTAATTTAATTACATTATGTCCACCAGACTGACAATCTGCTAATCACTTATGTGATAATAGTAACTTGTAACCAAAGGTAGCTAGTCATGTATAGATGCTAGAAAGTGTCTAATGGTATAGTGGTGAGGAAGAATGAGCGTGTGTCTGGTAAACAAGGAGTTTTTAGTGGACACATGCAAAATCAGACCCAACCTTAGGTGCAGAGTATATATTTTACTGGATATCTGAGAATGTCCCTCATGTATTCTAAGAAAATACAACCTGGTGTAACTACTGAGGTATCACTCCCTCAGCCTTCAGGGGACTGACACACCCAATGGTCAGGATTCTGGAACTATATATTCAAATGAAGAGACACTGAGACTCCATATTTATAAGCATGATCGATACTGACTGATAAATCTGAGCAATTGAGAAGGGATATTTAAATAATCAGGACTACTTCAATAGCAAGAAATAATCATAGTGCTGTGAAATTACTGCATGTGTGATCGTTATCATTTTCAAAACAATGATATAACAAATCTGTGATTGTCCACGAAAGCTTACAATACTACATAATGATTTGAAGTTGTCTTAAATGAACACTTTTTTTATGACAAAAAAAAAAAATATTACAAATCACTGTAGTAAACATCCTGACAGTAAAATCTGGATGAATACAAGTTTGGCCTCATGTCTTCCCTGCAGCCTCCAATTGAACCCAAATTATTATATATTTTATCAGCTGTAAGTGACATCTGGCATGAAGGAGAGATACAGGGAAACTACCTCCACTTTGTTCTCATACTTATGCTTCATCAGGATTTTGATAGCTTTACAACCGTGGTTGACAAAGAGACAAAATGTTTTAGGTGAGTATTATATTGTGATTCTTCTGTCCATATTTAGAGCAGTACTTCTAACATTAATATCACTTTTGAAATCGTACGTAATGTTTGAATGCATTTTGTCCTAATGATTTTTCACTAGTGTCCTGGATTGGGCAAGAGGGAGCCATCATTCAGTGCCAAACCAATTAATTATGTATGTCTTATACTGTTATGATTATGAGTTATGAGTTGTTTGTTATTTTATTTTTGCAAAATGATGTTATAATTTTATTTTATTTTAGATACAGAGCTTTATTTACCATCAGCATTCTGCATGTAGTCATCAGTTCTCATATTCCCATCAGACTCATATTCTGTTAGCAGATTCTCACTGCAAAAATCTGAAGCACATTCTGTCACAGTCTGCACCCTGAGTTTCATGCTTTTGCCCAAAATGGCAAATGATAAAGCATGCATACACTGCAGAAGACAACCACAGGCACATATTCATTGTCAATGTTAGTCTGGTAAAATCTTTTATCATGGGCACCAAAATAGTTGCTCAGCCCCTTCCATTTTCCCAGTTTAGCCAGTCCATTCTATCTACCCAAGTTCAATTTATCAATTTATTCTCAGCTCTTCTCCAAACTTTCTCACCTAGTAGAGTTGTTTTTACCTACATATCTGTAGACTGTGCTTGAGGTGGGATCCTGTTTGTTCATCCATACGTTAGCAGCTAGACTCCGTGGAAGAGTTTAAAGCTAAAACTGAATTTCATTGCCCTTGTTACATCAGAACAGGACAGTGACAATAAATCATGTAAACTGAACTGTTATAAGGGTCCAGCTTTTAGAGTCAAGGATCCATATAGCCAATTACATAAATGGTTCATATGTAAATATATGTCTACATAATGGGTAGATAAAAAAATGTACACATAACACGCAAAAGAAAATTATCTTTGAAGACATTAGAACAAATGTAGTAAAAGCTATAAACTGTCAGCCCCTTGAAAACTAACGCACCAATTTTCTCTTTGGTGCGTTAGTTTTCAAGGGAACATAAAGCAAGTAGGAGATTTACAATAATCCCAAATAATAACGTGTGCATCAAACAGAAGACCTGCAAAATTATTTAAAGTGCCAAGAGCAGTACTTTCAAAAATAATTAGTGCGTGGATAAACTGCCTTGGCCAAGAGGAACAATGGTAACTTGCTAAAGCTCACTGTTCACTGACAGGTACAGAGAGATACTTCACAGCAGAGTTGCCAGATGCAACAAGCTTCAGCTTCAGAAATTAACGCAGAATTAAATTACCACTTCTGGACCATGTTTCAATGAAAGGTATATGTTGTGAGCTTAATGAGTTTATGTCAAGGTTGTCTTTCAGAAACCACTTGTATCCAATGCCAAATCACACATAACCTGGTATGAGGAAAGTTGGACCCGTGTGCCATGGAAAAGTAACACAATCTGAGGAGTCATTTATCATCCTATTTCTACATTTGCAGGTGTTCTTTTGGACAAAGCCAAACAAACATTAGGCATGGTCCCCTGGACATAACAAATGACAATGTATGAATAGTTTCTTGATACTAAATGAATAAGCTTGGCTACGTCTGTCATGCCCGTGTGGCTAGGGTATCCAAGCAGTTAAGCAATTAGTCTAAGCAATTAATCAATAAAGCCTGCTGTAGCGGAGCACGGGTAAACCGACCAGTTACCTCCACTAATTCCTTCCCTCAGCCACTCTGGAACCATTAAAGTAAGCAGACATCCATTCCCCCAGTAACCAGACGAAATATAGTCCTGGGATTTAACTGATTTATTTCAGGCCACACATGGCTTTTATGCACTGACCCCACATGGGGTCTACAATACAATAAAACAGGGGTTTCGATCCCAAGATCCTCAGTGCCTGAGAGATAATTGCGTAAGAAAAACATATAATCTAATTATGTCTTAGGCACAGAAAATGCATACAAAATATACAGTACCCCAAAAGTGTCCCCACCATACTCAGAAACCCCACAAAAAGTACATCCCCAGATAGTCCCGATCTGTGTGTATAACATATCCAAAGATCACTCAGATCAGTTTGGTGAAACGGGAATGCCATCGAGGTGAAGTTTTGACGGGCCAGACACGAGGCGCTAGCCCAACACAGTTCCAGGAAAATGAGTGTCCTGGCCGGTCTCTGTACGTGGGGTTCCTGTGCGAACACCATGCAGGAGAATCTCTTCATTTCACAAATTTTTACAAATGTTCCCCCTGTTTGGTAGTTCATATCTCCTGAACATCGTTCTAATAGGTGGTCAGGAAATAGAACAGACAGCAGTCTAAGTTTTACTGGTGCGAGTGCTAGTGCCTAGCAAAAAAGAGTTCTAGGCACTCGATGACCAAGTACTGCTGCCCACATTCAGGAGACAAGATGGCCACCCAGGGGAAGCATGCATTAATCATTTCCCTTGCGGTTTTCCACTTAAGTTGGTGGTGTGAACATTCTAATTGGGAACAGAGGTGCCTCGTTCGGGAGACAAATGGATATTGGTCATATGAAGTACTCCAGAATGGAAAAAGGGTAAAACAAACGAAATGAGGGGAAAACACATAAATAGGTGATAAGTTCTGCCACACCTGCTGTAACCCTTGCTGAATCCCAAGACACAGATAAAATATTATTTCTAAATGACTCCCCTAATTTCCTCTCTATATATAAAAGGGTGTTTTTCAATACCCTTAACCAAAATAAAAAGGTTTACTATGTCACTAAAATGGCACATTTGCTTATATGGCAATTGATTAAAGAGGATGAAGGTAGATCTAATTTGCTGAATATCTCCCTCCTTAGCATTGTCATCATCTTCTTAGTCCTGGTCTTTGGCTCCTGGTCACTTAATCTGAAATAAGCTGTGCATGCATTAGAGTACAAAACAGATGCTTATGTAAGATACACAAATCAGAGAAGATGCCTGTTACCTTTTGCCGATGCAACTGATAGGAAATGGAAATCTGTGGAGATCAGACATACACTAATTTACAGACATACACTGACAGTCACACTCACTCACTAGCAGACATACACTGACACACACACCCTGATACTGACAGACTTACACTCACACACATTGCCTCACACACTCACAAATTATTATTTTTTTTCAATTTTAATTTAAATCCACCCAGCCTCCCTACCACTGGGAGAGGTAAAATGGATAATTTTTCTGGGATCCAGTTGGGCTCCTGCTGGGCTTGATGCAGCTGTGCTTAATGGGGCTGCTGGAGTGCATGCCGGCAGATCAATGGAGGCGGTGAGAGAGCTGTAATCTTCCTGCTTGGCTACCTTATGCACCACTTAGTGATGCAGGGAGCTGGCGTGACGTCATATTCTATCTTCGGTATCACTGTGGGGTTTGCCAGGTAGACGAGCAGGATGAGCTCAGAGAACAACTCTCCCTCGCCGCCCGCCCGCAGTATTAGCAGCCGCTGCCTCAGGGGGCCCTAATTCCTAAACCTTGTTTAGGAGGCTAATCTTAACACTTGCTTTTTTTTTTTTAAGTCCTACATGCTATGAAAATGTAAATAATCATCTAATATGCTTATGTCAACCATTTTGGTGAAATTAGATTTGTCAACAAGGATGATGTTTTTGTGTTTATCAAAGGTAGGAAGACTTGACCTGTTTTTCCACAAATAATTTAATATGTAACATATGAGTTCATACCAAAGTGATGACAACCCAGGCATGCGCTATTCTGCCAGAAAGTCATGAGTCTTCACTAATGTGATTGCAGGACATAGTCTTCTAAGTTCACCTGGCAAGTAGGCTGATGATACAGACTTTCCCCCACCCAGTCTTCAGACATGAGAGACAGCTGTATTGCAGGGAGAGTTAACATCTACCTAACCAAACACAATGATTTATAACAACAGATGGTAGGTGAAGCCACTCAATATACTATAGGGTCTATTTCTCTTAAAATATTATTTTTTGAGAATTTTGGAAATGCTAAATATAATACAAGGTAACTAAACAGCATAAAGATCCCCAATATGAATATGGTGGAGATCACCATAGCAACAACAGAACACTGTGAGAAGATGGAAAAAGGTAGAGCTTTCAAAAATCCGATGTTATCCAGGGTCACTTAAACTTAGTGGTGCGTATTACTGCATGTTTATTATAAGTACATCATCCGTGTCAGGGAGTGGCTTTATGTAACCGAGAGCAAGGGCTGACTAATTATGTGCAAAAGTGAGAGTTTCATACTAGTTTCTTGGATTTATTATTTTTTATTATTATTATTTGAGGGGGAGGGGCGGAATTGGTAACCTCTATTGCCAATTGCCACGTATCTTACTTAAATGAAACACTTCTCTGGAAAACACCTTGACTGCTCCTATGTCATTTTACCACTAGTTTTCTTCTTTTCAAAATATATTGCTTCTTGAATATATAAGTTTCCCTGGTAAAATGCTTATTAATCTTACCATTACATTGTAAATGTCATTTGCTTTACATCCAATGTGTGTGTTTTTTTTTTTGTGATCATAATAGATTTTTACAAAGCATATGATGATCTTGGAATTCATTATTAAAAGGATCTGTCACTTTTCTGTTGGTACGTAATACGGATTAAGGAACTGCGCACATGTAAAAATTAATTTTTAAATTTGATAAGGCTACTTAAAATTGTCTATCTCAGCAAACAAATATGGGGATTCAATTCCACCTTATGGCCATATTGTATTAAGTCCACCATTACTTCACAGTACCCCAATATCGGTGGGTCATACACTAAATCCAACATGGGAGACAAATTAAACAGTGCATGCTATATTAAGCTAAAGTGTATTTAAATAATCTGTTGTAAGAACATTGTGGAAATATATAATGCAAAATTAATTTGATAAATACAATTAAAATAATGCAGTGTCAAAACTAAACAATTAAAGTAATAGTGCTGTGATATATATATACTAGACATGTGCAATTTGTTTTGGTCTGAATGTGAATTCGGATGAATTTCGGGCAATTCGGACATTCGGCTGCTTCCTAATGTCCAAAGTGCAAATTGCCAAAGTGCCAAATTGCTGAAGTCCAGAATTTCAGAAGTGTACAGAATGGCCAAAGTGCCGAAGTGCTTTGGATTTCTGAAAAGTGGCAAAACAAGAGAGGGAGGGAAAATTATGTGAATGATGACAGGGTTAGGGTAGGGTTACATAGGGTTAAGGTAGGGTTAGGGTAGGGTTAGGGCAGGGTTAGCGTAGGGTAAGGTTAAGTTAGGGTAGGGTTAGGGTAGGGGTAGAGTTAGGGTAGCGGTAGGTTAGGGTTATTGGTAGGGTTAGGTTTAGGTTAGGGTAGAGTAGGGTTAGGGTAAGGTTAGGGTTAGGGTAGGGTTAGAGGTAGGGTTAATATAGGGTTAGGGTTAGGTTAGGGTTGGGTTAGGGTAGGGGTAGGGTAAGGGTAGGGTTAGGGT